CAAACGCAAAGAATATNAGGCNGAACAGCGTGCCAAGGAGCGAGGACAGCGAGAAGTGCAGATTCAGCAGGGTACCTTCACTCTCTGTTATGTCTGACGGTAATGGGACATAGTCTCACGCGGCCTTCATTCACGCCAGCCCGCAAGTCATCTGTTTCTACACCGCCGGCCACACAGAAAAATGATGTAAGTTGTGCGTGTGCATGGTAAGTAAGTGGCTTGGAACACTCATCACTGGCCACCGCACTGCAGGCTTCGCTCAAGATTTTGGAAGAGATCAAGAGCGGGAAGATCCTGCAGCTGTCGAGCAGCCCAGAGATAGCCTCTTCTCCCAAGGCCGTCGCCAGTTCGCCTGACGACGACGAAACCGCCGCGCCGGAGCCCGCGCACGAGTTGAGTCAGTCGAAGGAAAGAGAGAATGCGGTGGAAAAGGTCCTCTCTCGAGCCCCATTCGAACCCACTCCCGATCACAGTACTCATTTTCTTGCCGCAGAGCTCAACGCCAGCGAACAGCCGGATCAACCTCGACGCGAACGAGGACATAACGTAAGTGAGACATACACTCAGAACCAGCATGTCAGCATTTGTTGTTCGGTTTTGAGTGAAACGCATTTCTCCTCTGCAGGACGGACGAGTTCACGGTTGAGGTTGGAGGCCAGTTGCGAATTCTGCTCGTCTCCAAGCGCTACGTCGTCGAGGCCGATGTCACCACGGGAAGGTACTTACGTCGTTGATTCACTGGGTGGCTGCTCGTTTGTGCCTTTTGCCAACACTTATTGAATGGTGTGTGTTGGTCCAGGGACGTGGTGTCTCACCAAGCCAAATACATCACCTCAGTCAAGAGTGTCTCAAGTAAGTACACTTTTGAATCTGTTCCCGCCACAGTTGCACACTTACTCGTGTTGACTCTCTCTCCCTTTCTTTCTCTCTCTCAGTGGGTGGCCGTCCGGCGGTTCACGTCGAATACTCTCCACCTCGCGCCGGCACCGAAACAAGAACCGAAGTCAAGGACACCGCCACTTACATCCTTGACGACGAAGAGGAACGGTAAGCTCAGATTTCGGACCACCACCACCACCACCACCACCACCACCACCACCACACGCGCGCCCTTGGTCATAAACTAATCTCATTTTTGATTCCTGAATACCAGAGAACAGCTGTTGACGCTGTTGCAAGCGTTCCTGGCTCAGAACAGCCAGGCGCGAGTGCAGTGTATGCGATGCCTCAAGATCTACGATCGCCTTGCGGGCATGCAGGCCTGTCGGTCGTGCGGCAGCACGTACGTGGTTCACTACGAGGAGGAGAAGAAGAAGTCGAAGACGCCGCCGGCTTCCACCTCGCCGCAGCCGTCCACCAGCGCACCCGCCGATGCCCTCAAGGTTACGATTATGAGCGGAGACACAGAGACAAGCAGGCGCGGAGAAGTCGTGATGAAGGCCTCCACCAGAGAAGACTTTTCAAGCGACACCATGGACGTCAACCTGCAGCTCCACCTTCGGCTCACCTTCTTCAGGGTACGCTTGGTTTTCCTTCTTTCTTTTTCTTTTTCTTGTTTCTTCCCTTCCCTTTTTTTGCTCTGCTGGCGCCCAACGCGACCTGCTTACGGCTGACTGACGGCTTTCGTTGTGCAGGGAGGCGCGGCCGAGCAGCTGGTTTACTTCTTCACGTCGGTGTATCTGCCCTACGGCGCCAAGACCAGCGAAGAGGCGTACGTGCTTATCCCACTTGTCACACAGTGTGTTACTGTTCGGTTCCAGCCTGACCTTATTACCACTGTACAACAGGATCGGTCACCTTCTCATCACGACGCAAAACATGTACATCCTCCAACGTAAGCGACGACCGACCGAAACGGATCCAGGTACGACGCTCGTCTTCTAGCACATGCATTGATCGTTGGTCGATGCTGATTTGCTTCTTCGCAGGCTTTGCTCTGGTGGCCGAGTACCGACTCTCGCAAATCCGACGCGTGGTCATCGGACTCTTCTACCAACACTTCCGGGTGGAGATCGACGAGAAGCAGGCGTTCGTGTTCTTGTCCAAGGAACACGCACGAACACACGCCTTCATCGACCTCCTCTTGCAAACTAGTACGTTTTG